AACATCTATTTATCTTCCCCTGTAACATTTTTTCCTGTCATTTTTGCATTCATTCATTCTGTGAACATAAATATGTCTCTGTTTATCATGCACTGGCACTCTTTGGCTAGCACTGTGAATACAGAAAAGAGAATTCTGGCTGTCAGTGACCTTATATTTTTGTATGTTTTTTGTTTTTGCAAATTTCCTCATTTTGGAACTATGTAGAAGTACTATAAATCCTCAATAAATAAATGTATCATTATAATGTTTATTTAACTATTATTTTGAAAATGATGCTCTTCAGTCCACTTTAGTGTGTAGCTATGTTTTAAAAGAGCCCAGTGCAGATTCAGTTTATTATTTCTATAACTACTAAAACCAAACAATATTTACATATCCTGGATTTCCACTCTGATCACTTCACTACTCACATCTTCAGTGGTTTCTGAGTTTTATAGGATCAGATCCAGAATTCTTGGAACACTATAGTTATTTGCTTAAATCATTAGAAAGTTGTATTTTCAACTATTATTTCTGCTATTATGGTTCTTTCCCCACTTTTTGCTGTATTTCCTGAGATATTTTCATTGTTTCTAAGTCCTTCTGATTTAGAAAAATATACCCAGTTTCAGTTAACAGTATGTATTAGTTAAAGTAATGCTCAAATAGTAAATTAAAAAATCCCAGGGGCCTAACATAATTTCTGGTTGCTGGTGTCCTAAGGAGTAGATGGCTGTGATAGTTAATTGTATGTATCTACTTGACTGAACCACAGGATACCCAGATATTTGGTCAGATATTATTTTAGGTGTGTTTGTGAGGGTGTTTTTGGATAAGATTAACATTTGAATGGTAGGCTGAGTAAAGCAGATTGCCCTTCCCCTAGATGAGTGGCCTTATCCAATCAGTTGAAGGCCAGAATAGGACAATAAAGCTGATACTCCAGTGAGGAAGAGGGACTCTCCTGCCTAGCAGGCTGAGCTGAGACTTCAGGTTTTTTTCCTGCCCTTGGACTTGAACTGAAACATTGGCTCTGCTTGGGTCTTGAGCCTGCTGGCTTTCAGACTGGACTTTATAGCATTGGCTGTCCTGGCTCCCAGGCTTTTATACTCAGGCTGTCACTGCATTGTTAGCTTTCCTGGGTCTCATCTCACTCCATTCACCTGAGTCATGCTTAACTCTAGAAAAGCACAGTATAGTTTTGTCTCCTGGGAAAAAAAGAAAACATCCTTGGTGATCAGCCAGAAATCTCTCCCAAGTATCTCATACTTGGCCAGAGTTAGTTATACTTCGCTGTTATTGAACCAGCCCACAGGCAATGCAGAGACCATACATGAGGTCAAAGATACATGCAAATGGATGTGCTTCTCCATTGCTTGCTTTCTTCACAAATATTTTGTGATTTCAACAACCTGTATGAAGTGAGGAATACACAGGAAGCTTAGAACCCTGGGCTTTTATATTTTACACATTTGTAAGGCAGCAAGGGGGTAGCATCTGCGCTAGAAGTTCTGTATTATACCATCTAAACAAATTCTTGCTTTACTAATCCTGTATATCTTAGGACAACCATATAGCTCAGTAAGAAATTAGAAGACAACTAACACTACAGAGCAATTGGACTTTGATACATGTACACAAAACACTTCACCTGACAATAGCAGAAAGAGAAATTAATGCCAGTCTTCCTCAGACTCTTCCAGAAAATTGAACAGGAGGAAATACTTCCAAACTCACTCTATGAGGTTGGCCTTACCCTGATAGCAAAGGCAGACCAAGACACAGAAAACTACAGACCAATATCCCTGATGAGTATTGATAAAAATACATATTTTTCTTAAGTGCACACCGAATATTCTCTAGGATAGACCATATGTTATACCACGAAACAAATCTTAACAAATTTTTAAAAGTTTGTTTAAACTGGAAAAGATTCAGAGTATCTTTTCCAGTTGCGTTGTGATGAAACTCAAAATCAGTAGCAGAGGGAAAGCAGGAAAAAAAAAATCCACAAATATGTGAAAATTAAACAATACACTTTAAAACAACCAAAGGGTCAAAAAAGAAATCACAAGGAAATTGGAAAAGATCTTGAGATAAATGAAACAAAAAACAAACAAAAGAAAGCAGACCCAAGCTTATGGTATAGAGTGAAGACAGTGCTAAGAAGGAAATTTATGGCTGTAAACACTTACATTAAAAAAGAAAGATCTTTTATTAACAACCTAACTTTACATCTTAAGGAACTAGAAAAACCCAAAGCTAGAAAAGGAACATACAATAATGCAGTGGGGGTAAGATTAAAATAAGTAGCATGGTATAATGTAAGGTTTTGGATTCTCACCTTGTCTCACATTTGCAATTATGAGAATTTGATCAGGTTTCTGAATCTTACAGTTTTCCGTATGTAGATTGGAAGTACTAATGCCTTTCATAGTGATGTCCTAGACTGCAAAGATTAAATTAGCTAGTTGTTTTATTCAAATGAGTGATTATAGTCATAGAACTTCAGAGAAGAAGCAAGCTTTCCAGATAAAGGGTTTTTTAAATTTTTTTCCTGAAGCTTTGGCAACTGGTTCTGAAGGAAAGTTAGGAAGAACTGTGATACAGAAAACAAACAGTAGACACTATTTATATTTAAAATAGGTAACCGGTAAGGATCTACTGTGTAGCACAGGGAACTCTGCTCAATACTCTGTAATAACCTAAGTGGTATTTTCAACAAATTAATTATTAAACTAAAGTGTACATTCATTTTGAAGGAGAAGATATGGGGCTAAAATGATATTAATGTTCATTATTACTGCTGTTATTTATTTTATGCATTTCTGTTTACTCAAATGTTATTGATAGTGTCAAGAATACCTTTTGCTACATTGTGTAAGCCATGGAAAGCTCTTTAATTTTTAGAACCAGGAAGCTTTCAGGGTTATTAACAATTGATAAGCAATTTGCAACTGTACTCACTTGTGTGCCAGTAAGTGAAAATTTTAAAAATCCATAGCTTCCTGTTATTGAGTTCAAATTGATCCCTTTACATTTGCTTTCTATCTCAGTTAACCTATTTTTATGACTTTAGAGAAGTTACACTCTTCTAATTAAACTATGAGTAGTACGCATCATTTTTGGATTCTTTTCCATAAAAATGGTGATATTAATATATCTTTTGGTATAGAATGTTCATTTTTTTTTTTAAAGATGCGTTTTCAAAGTAAACTTTAAAGTTGCAGTCAGTGGCCTTTAGAAGGGATTGAAGCCAACTGGCCCACACATTCATGTAGAGGTTCACTCTCATTAAAAAGCTCTAGTTGAGCTAACCAAGATGGAAGAATGCTTTTTATAGTCTGATGTTTCTTTTTTTAAAACACAGCTTTATTGATGTATTATTTGCATACCTACAAGTTGACCTGTTTAATGAGTACAGTTCAGTGAGTTTTAACATATTTAGAATTACACAACCATTACCATATTCCAATTTTAGAACACTTTCGTTACCCTCAAAAGAAGCCTTGTACCAATTAACCCTTTTTCCCACTCCTTTCCTTAGGCAGTTACTAATCTATTTTCTGATTCTATGGGTTTGCCTGTTTAAATGGGGCCATACAATACATGGTTTTTTATGACTGACTTCTTCCACTGAGCATAATGTTTTTGAGATTCATCTGTCTTATAACACTCCAGTACTCCATTCTGTTTTATTGTTAGATAATCTTCCAATGTGAATAGTCCACATTTTGTTTATCTATTCATCAGTTGATGAACTTTTGACTTGTTTACACTTTTTTGGCTGTCATTAACAACTGTCATTATTTGGCTATCATCATTAAGCATTTATATTCCAAGGTTTTGTTTGGGCATCTGTTTTCATTTCTTTTGGGTAGAAGAGTAGAATTGCTGAATCATAAGGTAATTCTATTTTCAACATTTTGAAGAATTGCCCTGCTGTTTTCCAAGCTCATTTTGTATTCCTGCCGGCAATGTGTGAGGAGTTCAGTTTGTCCACATCCTCCCAACACTTGCTGTTATTGTCTCTCTCTGAGTATAGCCATTCTGGTGGGTGTAGGGTGCTGTGTTGTAAATTCAGTGTTTCTTAGGCAGACCCATGTAGGTCTATAAATATGTTCTGCAGCAGTTAAGAGTTCTCTCAAAATATCCTTTTTTTTTAATAGAAACTCTTTCATGTTGATGGTAATATAACTATACCCTGGATCATTTGAATGACTATCTCCTAATTTCATTATTCACATTTACTTGTTTAAAAGTCCACTGGTGCCAAGAAATAAACCCTGAATTTTTAACATGCTAGTGGGAAAGAGGAGGGTGTAGTTATGTAAATTACATATTTCTGCCAAGAGGCAGTCAAGTAATATTTGTCTTCTACTCATCTCAATGAATCTTATCAGGAACAGAGGTTTTGGAGCTTTTGAATGGAGAAGTGGTTATGTATGTAATTGAATCATCATAGTGTTACAGGGGTGATAAATGCAAAAGAACTTCATTCACAGCAGTCAACCTCATTGCAGTAAATCCTGTATTTATTTGAATTTTCAGCTGTAATTTGTTTTCAGTAAAAGGCTGTCACTTTCAGTTGTGGTAAAATTATTTTTCTTTTCTTGGTGTTTACATATAAATGTATTTTGGCTTTACAGTTATAAAATTTCCAATTGTATGTTTATACACACTTAAGCAACATTATAATAAAAAAGTAACTTGAGCGAACATTTAGGAATCATGATCCTTTTTTAAAAAAACATGAGTTTGGTGGTCACTTCTGTATCTTTAGGTTTGTGCCATTGGCCCTTTGCTTTTCAAGGCATGCCTTCAGCTGTGGATGCCCATGGGATTTTGAAGTTTGTAGTATCACTTGTTGAAAGCATAATTTAAGTAAGTTTGGTAATTTTTAAAAGCCATCCTAGAAAAAAAGAGGTGTTAAAGGAGAACTTATTTCTTGGTAAGTATACTTACACTTATTTTTCATGACGTTGTTTTATTTTTACTGATTACTGTCACTTTTACAGATAATCGGTATGCGTTTCCAAGGCTTTCGGCTATGTTTGGGTCTTCTTTTCATCTCAATTAATGCAGAATTTATGGATGATAGTGTTGAGATGGAAGACTTTGATGAAAATTCAGAAGAGACTGATGAAAATGAACTCTCCTCAGAGGTAAGGTTATTGAGAACCAAGCTATCCACTATTCCTTTACATGATACATAGGGCTGACTAATTTCTTAGGATTCCTTTCAATTGGAATAGCCTTTAGTTTGTAAATAAATAGAAAAAAAAAACATTGCCTTTTCCCAACTATTTGTTGCTGTGTTTTTTAGGGTGCCCATGTGCTACAGAAATGTGTGCATGGCATCTGGCACAGTTTTATTACCAGATAAATATGGGAAAGATTTTTATGATCAAACTTGGAGTTCATCACTAGCTAAAGAGGGCTAAATACTTAAACCCTTTTCAGATAAAAGAAAAGATAGTAATTTTCAGTTCTTCTAAAAGTAGAGAAAATGGTGTTTATTCATTTCTCTGAGGAAAGAAATGCTGAATAGGAGGATGAGTTCGAAAGGAGAGTGATGATGAAATAGGCATTTATTTAGTAAGGCTCCCACGGTTTCGGTCTCAGCATGAAGATCTGTGTTTTGAGGTGGTGACTGACAGGAGTCTGGAAAAGTTTTTAGAGGTTTTTGTGTACTCTGACAATCTATAAGAACTTTCACACTGAGGAATATTCATATCTAATATTGGGACAATCAAAAATTTTTTCAGAAATATTTTTGGTAAGAAAATGCCAATTATGTTCTGCTGGCTGCTGTTTAAAGGACTAAGAAGAATAATACATAGTTTTTTTTTAATGTATTTATTTTAATTGGAGAATAATCACTTTTCAGTATTGTGATGGTTATTGCCATACATCAACAGGAATCGGCCAAGTTGTTATAAATCTTTTTAGGGTTTTTTTAAATTTGCAACTGCATGTGTTGTTTAGCTGTTCAAGGTGAATATTCTTTCTCCTGTTAAGTTTGAAGCTCCACAAACTTCAAACTTAAACATTGAAATTTTTAGGTTTAAAAATTTAAATTTCTTTAAAATCTGGTTCTGTGACCCATAGAAAGTAAGTAATAATCAAAGTGCTTATGGCTGACTTAAGATACAGCTATTATGAGGGTTTCGGTAGGTTAATACTTTAAAGAAATTGCCAGATACCTGCGACTCTTAACTATGCGCTGTGCTTAGTCACTCAGTCGTGTCTGACTTTGTGTGTGTGTGTGACCTCATGGACTGTACTCAGCCAGGCTCCTCTGTCCACGGGAATTCTCCAAGCAAGAATGCTGGAGTAGGTTGCCATGCCCTCCTCCGGGGGATCTTCCCAACCTAGGGATAGAACCCAGGTCTCCCACGTTGCAGGTGGATTCTGTACCATCTCATCTACCAGGGAAGCCCAAGAATCCTGGAGTGGGGAGCCTATCCCTTCTCCAGGGGAACTTCCTGGCTCAGGAATTGAAGCAAGGTCTCCTGCATTGCAAGCCAGATTCTTTACCCGCTGAGCTATCAGGAAAGCCTATGACTCCTAACTATATTTGATGATAATTTGAAAAGATGGTAAGAAATGGGAGAGAACAATTTTTGATGCTTCTAAATTTTATAGCATGAAAATTCTAGGTATGGTAAAGTATGAATAAAGTATATTGGCCCATTTTTGCCAATGCATAAAAATAGAGAGAACAGTAAAGTTGTAATTCAGTAAACTTCATAGGAGATGGGCAATTTTGGTAGCAGAATCTTGACCCTGTAGAAGTATCTGGGGTTTTGTTTAATTACTGATTTTCCTCCCTTAAATAGAAAGTATGCTATTAGGGAAGGTTAAGGACAGTGAAAGTTGGGTCTTCATTGCTCCGCAGGCTCTTCTCTAGTTGCAGGGCGTGGCTTTCTCATTATAGAGGCTTCTTTTGCTGTGGAGCAGGGCTCTAGGGCACGTGCGCTTCAGTAACTGAGGCCCAGAGGCTCAGCAGTCCTGGCTCTAAGGCTCTAGAAGTGAAAGTGAAAGTCACTCAATCGTGTCTTTGTGACCCCGTGGACTGTAGCCCACCAGTCTCCTCTGTCCACGGAATTTTCCAGGCAAGTATGCTGGAGGGGGTTGCCATTTCCTCCTTCACTAAGACTCTAGAGCACATGCTTAATAGTTGGGGTTCACATGTGGCGTGTGGGATCTTCCTAGATCAGGGATCAAACCTGTGTCTTCTGCATTGGTGGGTAGATTCTTTACCACTGAGCCACCAGGGAAGCCCAGGAATTAATTTTAAACTAACCTATGTGCTTATTAAATTGTTCATCTTATATGTTTGTGATCATGCTACTTCTTTTGCTTCTAATAATTTTTATCCCCAAATACTGTCACCTGTTAGAATCCTTTCAAGGCCATGTCCACTGCATAATGAGACCTTGGCTGAGTACTTCCTCCCATCCCTTCTGTGTTAGAGGGAGTCAGTGTATTCTGTTTGCATGTAGTGTTTTTTTCTATCATGTATCTCTTATGTTCTGTATTTTATTACCATAAGGATATAAAGTTTTGAGGAGACCATGTAATGTACTATCTCTATTACCTATATGTGCATTCCATACTAGGTTCTTAATTAATGAGATTGTTTAATTAAAGTGTTTGTGAGGGTGAATAACTTTATATTTTTAAAATCTATTTTCTAGATTAAATATAAGACACCTCAGCCTGTAGGAGAAGTGTATTTTACAGAAACTTTTGATAGTGGAAAGCTGGCTGGGTAAGTATTCATTCAGGAGGATTTTTTCCTTGATTTGATTAGCTTTTTTGAAATTATTGGTTGTTAATTTGTGAAAATTGCCTCTGCCACAGAACTATAAAAAAAAGATTAATGTACTAGTTAAGGTAAACTAGCACCTTAACATGTTTTCATTATTGATAGAAATGTTTAATTTGAATTATTTATTTATACAAAGAATATATATTAATGAAGTATGAATATAAAGTAAAAACTTAGAACATTTCTTCATTCCTTAGGACAGATATTAATAGTTTAATTTCAGATGTTTCATCCTAAATAATGGTTAAAAAAAAAAGATTACTATCTGTTGATTATTATATTACATGTAGGTAAGAACTGTCTTAATCTGCCTTTTACCAGTGAAGAAACTGAGGTTTAGTGTACCTTACCTATATGATCATTGTTGTTTAGTTGCGAAGTTCTGTCTGACTGTCTTTGTGACCCCATAGATTGTAGTCCACCAGACTCTTCCATCTGTGGAATTTCCTAGGCAGGAATACTGGAGTGGGTTGCCATTCCCTTCTCCAGGGGATTTTCCCGACCCAGGGATCACACCTGCGTCTCCTGCATGCAGGCAGATTCTTTACCACTGAGCTACCAGGGAAGCTCACCTATGATCATACAGCAAGTAAATTGCAGATTCCAAATTTAATTTAACTCTAGCTTTGCAAGATAGTTGGGCTTCCCTGATAGCTTAGTTGGTAAAGAATCTGCCTGCATTCAGGAGACCCCCAGTTTGATTCTTGGGGTGGGAAGAACCGCTGGAGAAGGGATAGGCTACCTACTCCAGTATTCTTGGACTTCCCTTGCGGCTCAGCTGGTAGAGAATCTGCCCGCAGTGTGGGAGACCTAGGTTCAATCCCTGGGTTGGGAAGATCCCCTGGAGAAGAGAAAGGTTACCCTTTCCAGTATTCTGGCCTGGAGAATTCCATGGATTGTATGGTCCATAGGGTCATAAAGAGTCGGACATGACCGAGCAACTTTCACTTTCTTTGCAAGATAGTATATAGACATCCTTATTTAGCCTCTTAAGTATTCATGTATCTTAGAGTGAAAAGAGACTATTGGATAATCTTTTGTTGTATTTCTGATACACATTGTATCTATAAATTGTTAGTTTTATTTTAAATGATATATATTTCTTTCAATTTTATTTATAGGTGGGTATTATCAAAAGCAAAGAAAGATGATACAGATGCGGAGATTTCTATATACGATGGTACAGTATTATTTAAATATTCAACATAACAAGGATGACCCAGAGTTCATGAGCTTTTGAAATTATATTTCTGTTAAATATATATATGGTGGCCTCAGGATCCATCCTGCTTCACAATAGAATGTTCAGTCTTTTGTCTTGTCTCCTTTCCAGTATTTCTGGAAGTCCAAGTAATCCGTACTTAAGCCACCATCCAGGTTTCTAACTTTATAAACGGTTGAATTTTCACTCCCCTGCAGTTAGTCTTTTGCAGGATTTCCCAGGCTACTGCTGTTCTCTACTGTTTCTTCTCAAGCATAGGCCCATCTCAGTTAAGTTATAACTTATGGCATGATCCTCCTAGAGCATGCAAGACAGGGGACGTCTATGAGAGCCAAAAGAAATGTGGCTGCTCCTGGAGCCACCATCTCCAGGCCCATAACGTATCTCTGATAGGTTATCTTCAGGCTTACCCTTGGAAAGAAAAGTCCTATTAGCAAGGGTCATCTTTTCTTCCAACAGGACTCTCCTGGAGTATGATGAAAGAATTTCTTCTTCCTGTTAGTCTAAAACCAGCCTCCTCAGTTGTTAAATCCTAAAGCAGGATCAGCCTCAGTCAAGGTGATGGGTAGTGGGAATTTCCTCTCTCTCAGACCACCTAAGATCCATAAGGATGTGACCTCACATTCAGACCCCATTAGGAGTTACATGCGAATAACAACAGAACAGATAACAGCATGTGTAGGAGGCCAGCTGTCCACTTCCCTTTCCATGGTGTCTATTTCAGTGTGAGATACAGATCATGCCTGCGTGTCTTCATGCTGTGTTCTCCATCCTAGTACATGTGCTTCTAAACTCCAGAAGGAACTCTGCCATATTCACAGGACAAGCAACACTGAGCTTAGTCATCTGAATTCCTTTAGAGAAGAGAATGACTGCCCTCAAAGAAGCAGTGTTTGCAGAGATAGAACTGTACCTAAAATCATACCCACAGAAATATCTGCCATCAAACAGAATGCTTGACTTAAAACATCTATGTTTAGCTTACTTTACAGTTTTTTAGAACAGCATTGGGTAGATGTATGTTTTTATTTTGGAAGTATCCATTGATGGAATTTTCCTAAAACTAGGTTATGGTCTATTTTAGAAGTGAGTTTAAGTCTGGACGGAATGACTCTTACTGCTTTTAAATGAGCTTTTCCCTCAGCTTAAAATTAGAACTCAAGCAAGCAAGCAAAAAATAAGTTTACTAACAACATTTATGTTTTTTTCCATTAAACATAATTACCCACAAAATAATTTTTTAGTGTATTAGATTTGGTATGGTTGGTTGACTTTTCAATTTCTTGAAAGTAACTTTGAAAAATACAGAACCTCTTATTAAAGGTTCAGGCCCTGAAAGTGGCATTTTGTCTATAAATATTAGTGATGTCTTTTATACAGTGGTTAGTTGAGACCAATATCAATTTCTTTGCAGGAATATTTAGTACTGTAGTCATTATTCATAGCTTCTGTCAAGTGCCACTTGAGTAAATCCAATTGCTCGGTTTTCAGGAGCAATCTGTGAGAAACATTATATGCTGGAGAAGAGGGTTTGCATTTGAGGGAGACTTATTTAAATTGTCATATTAAGTTATTAATAAAAATATAGCTGTTTAAAAAAACCACCAGTTCTTTAAGTGACTAATTTTCAGGCTGTCTTATAAAATTGTTTGAATTCTTTTCGAGATTTTACTTAAATCAGAGTTCACATTACCTGGCCTTGAGTAAGGATTGGTTAATGAAAAGTTCCTACTGATTTGAAGTTAGGAAGAACTTCTTGTCCTTGAGGAATAATCACCTTGTCACAGGTTTTCTAAAATTAAAGTAGTACTTTGAGAGAGTACCTTTTCATGGCTGGTAAATATATGCACGTAATTACAAAAGAAAGACAACGTAGTTTTAAAAAATACTATCAGTATCCTAAAATCTCTAAAGATATAGTTGTTACTTCTTCAAAGAAGGCCTTTGTGATTTGGTCACGCCAAAGATTAGTAGTGATAATAGAGTTGCTCATCAGTGTGAGAGAAGAAAATGAATTCACCTTTTTAAGAAAAGTTTAGTATAACCAAATTGGGGGACAAAAAGGAAAACAAACCTGAAAAGTTGAAAAAATGAATTTTTGAAAGCCCAAGAAGGTGTGCACAATGATAGACCTCAAAACACCCCTCTCTGATTAGTGAGACTGTTCAGGTTCTTGCACTGTTGTTTTTTAGAAAGAAAAAATGTATATAAAGTGCATTGGTAAATTCAGAAGTGCCCATTAATATTTCATGTTGGCACAATTCTGGAAAATAGCCAGCGTTCACTAAATTTTCTTGGAATAGGCAATACATCTAATTTTCGAAACTGGAACATTTTATACAAGCTAATATAAATTAGTTATTTACTGTTTTAAAAAGAGTAAAGGAGGAAAGTCCAGCCCACAACTTTGGGGCTACAGATGACCCATTCAGCTTTGTATTGGATGCATCCCATGATCTAATTGCAGGAACTTCCTGGTCTTAAATGGGGGCAATTCCAGCCCAGAGAGGGCCTCACTCAGCTTTGCTCTGCTACAGACTAGTGCTAATCTAGCTTATAGGACTTTCTTGACCAAAAGTTCTGAGAACTGATTGGCTTAGCTCAGAAAGGGTAACTGCAATTTGTGTTCTTTGGCCATACAATTTTCAAAATAAAATTTAAATCGCTATAACTTCTGCCAAGTAAGAAAAATAGCTGATGACACCATGAATTTCAAAATACATAGACTGAGGCAAACTCATTTTGTGTTAAAGAGGTATTTTGTCTCCTGTGTCATTTAAAAATAAGTCATTAAAAAAAATACAATGAGACCCTATGAGACAAACAAATTCTGTAATTTTGTTGATTAAAGTCTCTCAGAGAAATCCGAACTAAGCCAGCTTTGGAGGTCCTTTAATTAAATGCTGTAGTGTCTGTTGTTTATTAGTTGGTCAAGAAATTCATTTGGGTTTTTCCATAAAAGGTTACAGGAACACCTGAATGAACTTATTTTGCCGACCCAATAGTTCCCACAATTTTAGGAGAAAAGAGAGCAGACACACCTACAAGTGCAGGTACAAGTTCCTGATTTAAAATGTGATTTTATTTTTCCAAAATCAGCCTTCAAGGAAAAATCTAATTGGTTACCATTTCTGATAAATAATTTTTAAGTCAGTGTGTTTGGTTTTAGTTTAACTTGCTTTGTTTTGTATTTTAGGAAGATGGGAAATAGAAGAATTGAAAGAAAATCGAATACCTGGTGATCGAGGACTGGTATTGAAATCTAGGGCAAAGCATCATGCAATATCTGCTGTGTTAGCAAAACCCTTCATCTTTGCTGATAAACCTCTGGTAGTTCAGTAAGTTTTATTATGTTTTGAATACTTTTTCTAACATTTATTTTAGTTTTGTATAATTTGGCTTCTGAATATGGGTATAAAATGGGTATAAAAATTCAGATTTCCCTTTTCCATTTCATTTATTTAAATACACAATGTGTGTATATGCACAAACACCCTGAAGTTTTGAACGAAGTGAAGATTTGTTGCAAAATGTATTAATATAATATTTGCTATAATATGCAGTATTTCACCAGCATAAACTATATAGTGCATATTAAAATCACCATTTTTGTTTTAACTCTTTATTTCAAATTGACTTGCTGTTGAGATATATTAACTTCAATATATTTTAAATAGAACTATAAATATTGCTGTTGAACCAGTGATAAGATTCAAAGGCAGTAAATTTGTTTTCAAGAGGAAATGCCCTTTTAAAGGTCTGCATTCTCACAGAGTTTTCCTCTCCCCTCCCTCAAAATATGACATACACTAGTTTTGTGGTATTGTTTGCATGTGTAACTATCGTAAAATCAAGTATTGATTCCTCAAGCTTGTTTCACCTATACTGCTATAAATCCAAAATATATCTGTACAAATACAGTTACAAAACAAATGAAATTCGTATTAAAAACAAAGGAAAGGAAATGTAGAAATGTTACTTTCTATCTTATATCAAAAGATTGGGCTGTCCAAAGTTAATTACAGCCTAAGAAGTACTACTAACTATAAACTAACTATAAACTTGTTTTAAATTTTTTGTTAGCATGTTAAATATATGCCTGCATGGTATAACTAAAATGCCATTTTGTATTTTAAAAATGTAAAACAATATGACATTTGGTATAATTGGTTTAATTTTTTGGCTGTGATGCCTTGATTTAGTTGCATTGTTATTTCAAGAAATTTAAAATATCAAATGTCAAAAGAGTATACAACCGTTTAAACAAATGAAGAATATTACCACAAGTATTTACTGGGATTAATATTTGAGCTTGATGTTATGGCATTATTCAGAGTTTAATATTTATTTCTTCTTGAAAATTTGAGAGTAATCTTATTCTGTTAATTTAGGTGAATATAATATAGTTTTCTATTTTAATCTTTTGTGGCCTAAATGAAAGGGTAAAGGAAAATAATGCAAAATTTAACTTCTCCAGGGTAAAATGAATCAAGTTTGGTATTTTCAGAAAGTATAAATCACTGCTAGGCAAGTAAGTGAAAGATAGCTTACAAGATTGGAAGCAAAGATAGTAAGTCTAAAAAATTATTAAAGCAATTGTGAACTGAAAAAAGAAAAGGAGAATCAAAAAGAATTGAATTAGTGGTCTTTGATATGCTTGAAAACAATTCAAAGAAGGATAATGAGTATTTAGTTTTCTTAATTTGGATAAAATGAAATAGTATAGATAAAATAAATTTTGTATTAACTATTATAAATACTATACTATTATAAATACTATTTATAACTATTGTAAATACTATGAATATAGTATAACTCATAAATATGAACTATTTAAGATATAACTTTAAAACTGCTTTTCCCAAATTATTAATATGCATTATGTGGTCATATAAGTTTTAGAAACTAAGAATATCTGAACCTTAAAGATAAGGAAGCATATTTGCCCATTAAAGATTCTGAAGAGTTCTACATAAGAAAACATATTTTTAATTTGAACATTGTGCTTCCCAAACATATTTGACCACAGAAGTTTTTTCCACCCTAAACAATAATTACTATTTCATAGGACAATTTAGAAAATGGCAGCCTAAAGAGAAGAGGGTTAACATATACTCTGCATTTATCCTCATTTTTCCTGTGATTTAAGATTAGCAGCATGCAGTTCGTCCAGCTCTATGACTTACATTTCACTGATCCTCGATTTCATTGTGAACTGTTTATTACTAGGCACAAGGTAATGATTTGAAAAATCTGGAAGTATGCAGCATATGAGGTAGACATAGTGATCAAGTCTAGGCATAATAAGATAGCGTAATTCTCTTCCATTTATAAAGACAATTTGCACTGTTGTTATCTCTAGTTCTTTTCACAGATCCCTCAGATCACCTATAATAAAGCTTTATCATTTTATTTTACTTAGAGTCGCAAGTATTTACCTTTAGTTCACATTATACACCATTTGTTTTACTTCATGCTCTTCAAAGACATGTTTCATGAAGGAAAAGTTTATCAGCTACTGCTAAAATAAAAATATTGATAAGGCCTTGAGGAAAACAAACTCCTTCATTTAAAACGTGAAAAAGAACAAAACAAAACTTTTCTTCTGATCATGACAGAAGCTAACATTTTTGAGCATTTATTGACCCATCACTGTGCAAGATGACGTCTAGTCATCTTAACAGTCCTTAGAGGTGTGGATATGGGCAGTGTTCCCTCGTGATAGATGAGCAGATAGAGACCAGAGCTTCTACCAAAATCAAGAGCAAATCTCGGATCTTTCTGACTCCAAAGTGCTTGCTTGTAACCACTGTTGTAGAAATCTGGAGAAATAAAGCAGAATATAAAGTAGGGAGGGGAAATCACCATCAAGTCCAGCAACTCAGAGATTATCACTTAAAATTTTACTGTATTTTCTGTACTCTTTTCTATATAAAATGCCTATTACTAATTGGGCTCAAACTGTCAAAGTTTTGTATACTTTTTTTTTTTACTTTGTCACTGAAGTCTCTTCAGAAACATTTTAAACTATAATTTTTTATTAAAATTATCACTATATCCTGTTACTTCTCTGGTTTTCATCTGCTTTTGCTTTAATTCATTAAACCAGTCATAACAGTTTTGGTTTTCACTGTTTTTCACTTTGATATCCATTTCCTCATTGACTTTTGTCACACGTAATTCACCAATTTACTGAAAATCTCTTCTAAATATTGTTCAGTAAGACTGTCTATTGCCTAAACAAGACCGTAGAACTTTTGATGAGAATTACAGTGTTGTAAATCCATGAGAAGATTGCCCTGTCAGTTCACTTTTTTAGCTGTTAACACTGTATTTCCCCTACCTCCTGGCTGCTAAGATATGAAATATTCCAGGTTTACAAAATCTCTTTGCTGGGGTTATTTAATTAAATGTACAACTTTATAAACCTGGTTTATGTGTAGCTGAACTAAAAGACAAATTAGTATTAAACTGAATAGCTAAGATCATTAGCAATTTCCTAGAAACCTATGCTGTAACTATGATCCCCATAGTCTTTGTTTCTCACTTTATAAAAAGTATGTATAGTACGTACCTTATTTTAGTTTGAAGTTTCCTGCTGAAAGTTTTAATCAAAGTATCTTATTCTTAATTAAACAGTTTTGATGAAAAGATTTATTTCAGCAAATTAGTTGGCTTTTCTGTAGTTGTTTATAGTCATTCTATTTTCAATATTTTAAGAATGTTCATGGAAAAGGCCTTTCTGCTTGTCCTCACGGGTTGTGGATGTACTTGGTGTGAGCTTTCTGGTAATGTAAATGTTTGTGTTTAAATGAATTGAGAGTAATACATTAGATTTTGAAGAGCAATTAGTAATTTTTATTTATCAGCAGTATGATTCTTTTTCCCTTCATTTAGATATGAAGTAAATTTTCAAGATGGTATTGATTGTGGAGGTGCATACATTAAACTCCTAGCAGACACTGATGGTTTGAATCTGGTATGATATTTTAATGTTTAAGAAAGCCTTATTAAAGTTAATAAGTATTTCTAAGGAGTAATTGACACAACTGAAATTTTTATTTTCACCTGAGGTCAAAAATAACTTTGAAAATTTGTATCTAAGATGAATTTATATAGCTTTTCCCTGTGCCTTCAAGTTTCATACACAGCCATGTTACTTGATGGCATCAGTTTTGTAATCTTTAGCAAAGTGAAAAAGGCTGCCAAGTCTATAAAATAAAATATAACCTGGTGCTTATAAATGTCACCGAAAGATCAACTTACAGTTATTTTCTGTACAACGTAATAATCATAAGTTTGTTAGGAGAAGTAAGATAATGGAGCAAAGTAGTAAAACAAAATGGCCAAAGAATCAAATTAAAAAGGCAGGTCAGCTCAGGAGTTAGCAGTCTGCAAAAATTTACTAACTTAAAAATGTTAAGTTCATAATGAAGCAGGTTACATTAGAACCATTTGAAATTTGGAGACATTTCTTATAGCAGCCTCCCACAGGAGGCTATGTCAGAATTCCTGCATATAACAAATATAAAACGAATGAGACGTTAATGAGATATTTGTCAGGATTCCTGGATATGAAACATTAAAGGATTCATTTACTTAGATAAGGTCAAGGGGCAGCCGTTTGTAGTTTATGGTGAAACTCTCAGGTGTTGTGAGGGGACAGTCACCTGGGGCACCATGGCAATAATAAAGTCAAATACCAAGTATTTTTCTAAACACTTGATCTGGTTAACTCAGTTAATCCTTAGAGAAACCTTATAAGGTACGTACTATTATTATCCCCATCAGAGGTGATGGAATAGAATGACAGGGAGGTTGGAAGATTTGCTCAGGGCCACACATAGCTGGTTTAAAGGCAGCAGCAGGATCTGAACCTCAGTATCTGATGCCAGATGCCATGCTCTTAACCAGTGAAAGTGAAGTGAAATCGCTCAGTCGTGTCTGACTCTTTGCAACCACATGGACTGTAGCCTACCAGGATCCTCAGTCCATGGGATTTTCCAGGCAAGAATACTGGAGTGGGTTGCCATTTCTTAACCAGTAGGCCATGCCAAATGAATCCATGGGATTTTCCAGGCAGGAATACTGGAATGGGTTGCCATTTTCTTCTTCAGGGGATCCTCCCAACCCAAGGATTGAGCTCAGGTCTCCCGCATTGCAGGCAGACTCTTTACTGTCTGAGCCTCCCAGGAATCCCGAAGAGAAATGACTGTGGTAAAATGGGGAGCAGGTCACTGTATCTGTTCTTCACTTTGTGCTTCATTAAAGGGCACCACTTTCTGGTGTCTTACTGAATAGTAGTAGTGGCTAAGTAAGCACTGTAGTCTTCAGTCACAGTATGTTTTTCTCTATGCTTTATTTTCTTAATAAGATATTAATCAGATCTATATAGAGTAATTAAAGCCTATTATGTTGTTAAAGTGGTTCCAGCTTCTCTCCTACATCTTCAAAATGGAAGTAGTGTGTGCATTTTAAGAAAAAAAAATCTGTTTTGAAATGAAATTTGCCATTTTTCCACATCCTTTATTGTCAATGTGTCAACTAACTCTTTGGTGAATTAGCATTTAATACATTTTGTGACCTCTACCCAGTGGGGTAGAATAGAGAAACTCATTAACTATTTCAGTTCTGGACTAATCCTAATACTCATCTCTCTTTGAAGGAAAATTTCTATGATAAAACATCTTATACCATTATGTTTGGACCAGATAAATGTGGAGAAGATTATAAACTTCATTTTATCTTCAGACATAAACATCCCAAAACTGGAGTTTTTGAAGAAAAACATGCCAAACCTCCAGATGTAGACCTTAAAAGGTTCTTTACAGACAGGAAGACTCATCTTTATACCCTTGGTATATCCTTTTAATTCATTCATTAATTTAAAAGTATTTGCTGACTACCACTATTTTCACAGCAAGTGCTTTGGGAGAAGCGGGCATAGGTACTTCTGTTAAGGATTTATCTTTTTAGGAAAATCAGACACACATACTTACAGCACAGGCAGAAAGTGCCATATGAGATACAGTTAAGAGCTCAAAAGCAATACTGCTTTCACTTAAGAAACTTCGGGAGAATCTGGTGAAAGTGATTCTGTTTGACCAAATCTTGAAGTTTAGATATACCATGTGGAACATAGGACAGGAAAGGGATATTTTAGGTACCCTGACATTAGTGATGCTGACAGAATAGAAAACTGGAAAATAAGATTAAAGAGGGAGAAACCCTTAACATTAGACTTTACTAGGCAGTTATCATTGTTGGGTCCTGCCTGCTGGTAGTTAAAGGGAAAGCACTCAGCAACCATCTATTAACATACTTAGCTTTACTTTTTCAGCTATGAGTTGTGTATACACTGACTGGGAGGAACATTATATAGGATTGTCTCTCCTCTTTCCAGGTGCATATAGTTATGTACTATGATTACTTAAAATCCTAGCGTGTCAGAACCTAACAGGACAACTCCATCCAAGACTAACATGTATCAACTTTCTTCCTCAAAACCGCAGTTACAGAAACTTTCCTTTTTGTCTGCCAAGGCAGAGACCAATTTTATTTTTAGTATTAATATCAAAAACCTTTCTCTGAAATTGTAAAATAGTACTGGGCATTTGGGGGAATGTAAGGTAAACTGTCAAAACATAGAAATAATGAGAAATTATAACTAGAACAGAAAAAAATGAATTTTAATTAGGCTTTGTATAAACCCAGTCAAAACCAATATGATAGTATATATATCAGAGGACACAATTCCACTTTCAGGAATTTATCCAAAGAAAATAATCCAGAAGGAAGAAAATGACCTGTATGTAAAAATATACTGTAAATTGGAAGCAACTCAAATGTTGCAGTGGTGGTTTTCTTTCTATGCAGTACAATACAAAAAGATAACTATGAAAGAGTTCAGCTTATAATATTAAAATGGGGAAAGGAAAGTTGGAGGCACATTCTGATGGCCACTAGACAAATTATGCAAACAAAAACAGTTTAGAAAAGTCTTTAACTTTTATTAATCACCTGATAGGTACCATGCTCTGTGCTAGGTGCTTTGTTGAGAACAGTCATGTGAGGTGAGCAGTTTTTATTTCGCCTTAATTTAGGTTAAGTAACTTGCCCTAGGAAATAAAAGTAATTGGTAGAGCTGGAATTAAAATTCAAGCAAATTCTTAAACATTTGCTTTTCTTACTATGATACACAAAAACTTTGTTGTGCTAGGATTATCCACTTTTAAAGGACTTTTTTCCTTTTAAAAAAAGTTTCTGTGTTATATTCTCATAACATTATTCTGTAGTTGTTCTAAGAACCTTACAGAATCCCTTTAAAAGAGTTTATAATCCAGTGCCTTTTGTGGTGAATTCATTTAGAATATTTAAAACCGTTTTCTAATGGAAAGTTTTTTGGCTAAAGATTTTTGATAAAGATGTCTTTTCATATGGGTGTAATTGTCACGTGCTTTTTTGGATTTACTGTAATTTTAAAATACTTAAGTTGCAAAATTGAGTCAGAAAATACTCTTTCAGGGGTTTTTCTTGAGAAATGCGTGTTTTGAATTAGAAAGAGTCTAGTACATTTTTGCATTTAAGATCTTATTGTTAGTTGTACTTCAGTCTTTTTTCCTTTGTGTGGTAATATAGTTTTATAGTCTCAGCTGTAATAGAAAATGGTGGAGAAAAAAAGAGAAGGGAGGAAACACTGAGTGTTCATTTGCATTATTTGAATTTGTATATAAATTGCAATATTTGATTTTGACATAAACAATTTGGCATTGTTGTGACTGAAAACCTCTGGAGATTGTTTCAGTAAAGTTTTTTCAGAAAGTGGTAGTCTACATAGCTAGTTAAGTCAGGATCATCCTGACATTTATTGACAGCTCCTACTTCCTTAACTGGGCTTCCCAGGTTGCTCAGTTGGTAAAGAATCAGCCTGCAATGCAGGAGGCCCAGGTTCTATCCCTGGGTGGGGAAGATCCCTTGGAGAAGGAACAGCTGCCCACTCTGGAGAGAATCAGACACGACTCAGCAACTAAACTACCGCTACCATCACCCCTTCCTTAACTTACTTCACTAAAAGCAAATGTTAAGCTATTACTTTTTATCTGCCATTCTTTCCAAAGATAAAAATTGTACTCAGTGACTCCCCAACCCGTGTTTACAGAAGGGAGAGAGAGACTTTCTTTTGTTTTTATACTCATAGCAGTCCTTATGAAGCTTTTGACGGGGTAACTTTTAAAGAGATAAGAGTTTACCTTGAAACAACATACAACATACCAAAGCATGAGCTTGAGTGTTTTCAATCATCCTTGAAATACTTTACACTACAATGTAGGAATCAAAGAATTTGAAATGCCGATGAGTTTTATAGATTTCTAGGAGATCATAAGAATGTGTGAATACTAAAGTCCTGATTTTGGCTTCTAGATTAGGGTTATATAGAAGGATGTCCTTGTTTATAGGAAATGTGCATTAAACCGTTCAGGGATGATACAGATGAGGTCAATAACTTACTCTAAAGTAATTCAAGAAAAAGTGAAGTTCTTTATATATACCTGCAACTTTTAAATTTTGAGGTCATTTCAAAAAGTTATTTTAAAATAGTGAAGATTGGGTTGTATTCTGTAACTATAAAAGACTAAAGCTGAATGGTTATGTGAGTCCTAAATTGAGTTACCAATTGGGTATTTTTTATTTGAGAAGTAATGGAGTGTTTTATTAAATATTATTAAAATTTTATGTTTGGTTTTAGAAAACATTGTATCTAGTGATTTTGGCATATTTTGATTTAATACATTGGTAATTCCTCTATTCTGGTTAAGAGAAAATTTTACCCATGAAGTTTAGGGTAGTTTTATTATTTAGAAGATTATTTTTAACATTTCTATCAGTATGATAAGTATAATATGTTTAAATTGGTCTTTAGTGATGAATCCAGATGACACATTTGAAATATTAATTGATCAGATAGTTGTAAACAAAGGAAGCCTACTAGAGGATGTGGTTCCTCCTATCAATCCTCCCAAGGAAATTGAAGACCCCAGTGATAAAAAACCTGATGATTGGGATGAAAGAGCAAAAATCCCTGATGCTTCTGCTGTCAAACCAGAAGACTGGTAAGCAAAGAATTCAGTAGCAAAGCACTGTTTGGCACAAAGTAATAAAATGTAACATATAAGTGAAGTTTACAACCAATGAAACATATTCTTTTAAACATCAGAAACACTTATTTTGACTTTTAGGAGAAATACTTCTCTGAAATGGATTTTGCACTTCCTACCTTTTAATTATCTTAATTTTCAGTTTAATTAATTTTGTTCCTTTTTCATATATGTATATATATATATAATGTATACTTCCAGTATGTATATTTTATTTTATATTCTTTCAGTGCTGTGGGGAAAAATACCATGAGTCCAAAGCACCAGCACTTTAATTTCTGTTTCCAGTTTGATCTTTCTTATGTATGTGTGTGCATATTTTACATAGTTGTGGTCGTTGCAGTTAATGATTAGTTGGCTTTAAATAACCATATCCTCAGCATCTTATAAAACTATATGGGATGCACTCGTCTTCCCAGGAGGCGCTAGTTACATTATATTACATTAAATAATCGGCTTGTGAAGGCAAAAGACGCAAGAGACAGAAATTCGACCCTGGATAGGGAGGATCCGCTGGAGAAGGAAATAGCCACCCACTCGAGTCCTCTTGCCTGGGAAAGCCCCTGGACAGAGGCGCCTGGCAGCCAGTTCCGTGCAGCTGCAGAAGAGTCAGGCATGCGGAGCACATGTGCAGCGGCAGCATGCAAACATTGCCTTTCTCTCTGGGGCTAGTCATAATTTTTGTAGCAGAGAGCAGAAGTTTTAAATTTTTATGAAGTCTGGTTTGTCAATATTTGTCCTTGATTATTTATGGTTTTTGCATCTTCCTAAGATACTATGCGTAAATGTGACAAAGATTTTTTGTTTTCTAGGCAAATAATTTTGAGTAAAACTCTGTTCGAAGTTTATTACATGTAGTGTGAGATATAAATCAAGATTAATTTTCAAAAAATATGGATGTCTAATTGTTCTACTCTTAAGCATCCATTTAATGTCCATACTGATGTCCCCTCTTTCTTTTCTGCTATGGTGATTAGAGTTTTTTCTTGATGCGTTTAGCTACAGGTTGATCAATTTTATTGAGCTGTTTGGAGGACAGGCTTTTGTTTTAGTTTTTCCCTTTTGTTGGCCTTTTTCTATTCTTCTTACTTTGGACTTAATTTGCTTCCCTTTTCTTCTTTTTAAGGTAGAAAGTAATTTCTGATAGAAGCACCTATAAATTTTCTCTCAGCACTGCTTTAACTACGTTCCACAAATATCTACTGTTTCTGAGAACATTCATTCATACTGTTTTATAATTGCCCTAGTGATTTCTTCTTTGATTTACATATTTTTAAAGTGTTACTTTGTTGCCAATTATTTCTGGATTTTCCAGATAAGATTTTCACTTTAACTCCCAATATAATCCTATTGTTGTCAGAAAACATTCACAAATGTTACTTACCTCAGGTTGTTCTAAAGCCTTTATATTCCTAATGGTTTTCAGCCTGTTCTCTTATTGGGAAGAGAAAATAAGTCTTCATCTATGATTTTAGATTTGTCTTTATCTCCTTTGAGTTTTATTTGTTTTGCTTTGTGTAATTTGAAAGTCTAGATCACTAGATCAGTTCACAGCGTTTCATGACCTCTTGAGGAACTGACCTTTTTATTATTATGAAATGTTCTTCTTTATAAACTCATAATACTCTCTGTCATGGAATCTGCTTGGTCTGACATGAGATCAACACTCCCATTTCTTTTAATCATGGTTCCACTGAATATTATTTTCCATTATTTACCTGTAACCTGTATGTTGTTGTTATTCAGTTGCTAAGTTGTATCTGACTCTTTGTGACCCCATGGACTGTGGCACACCAGGCTTCTAGGTCCTTCACTATCCCCCGGAATCTGCTCAAACTCATGTCCATTGAGTTGGTGATGCCATCCAGCCATCTCATTCTCTGATACCCCCATCTCCTCCTGCCTTTCCATCTTTCCGAACATCAGGGTCTTTTCCAATGAGCCAGCTTTTCGCATCAGGTGGCCAAAATATTGGAGCTTCAGCATCAGTCCTTCCAATGATATTCAGGGTTGATTTCCTTTAGAATGGACTGGTTTGATCTCCTTTCTATTCAAGGGACTCTGAACTGTCTTCTCCAACACCACAGATTGTTCGGCACTCAGCTTTCTTTATGGTCCAGCTCTCACATCCATACCTGACTACTGGAAAAACCACAGCTTTGACTGTATGGACCTTTGTTGGCAAAGTCATGTCTCTGCTTTTTAATATGCTGTCTAGGTTGGTCATGGCTTTTCTTCCAAGGAGGAAGCATCTTTTAATTTCATGGCTGCAGTCTTCAGGTGGTCTGGTATTCCCATCTCTTTCAGAATTTTCCACAGTTTGTTGTGATCCACACAGTCAAAGGCTTTAGCATAGTCACTAAAGTGGACGTAGGTTTTCTGGAGCTCCCTTTCTTTTTCTATGATCCAGTGGATGTTGGCAGTTTGATTTCTGGTTCCTTTGCTTTTTCTAAATCCAGTTTGTACATCTGGAAGTTTTTGATTCATGTATTGTACAGCCTACCTTGAAGGATTTTGATCTTTACCTGTATATGCCTTTATTTTTCAGGTGATTTTCTTGTAGTCAACTATATTTGGGTCTTGCCTTTTAATTGGAATGTTTTAAATCATCTACATTTAATGCACTTATTGATACAGTTAGATATAAACCTGCTGTCTCGCTGTTTGTTTTCTCTTTGTCCCATATAGTCTCTGGCTTTTAATAAAATTGTTTCCTGACTGTCTTTGGATTGAGTTACTTTTTTGAGTCTTCCGTTTTTCTTTCTGTTGGCCTTTCGGCTTTCCTCTGTAGGCTGTGTTTTACTGAATGCTCTAGGTTTTGCAGTGTGCATCTTAAACCTATTTCAGTCTCCTCTCAAATACTGTTATACTGCTGATGGGTAACACTTGGCCATTATTTCTCTAAATATTTGTATATGCCTCCCCATCTCTTTTAGGGAGATGCACTTAAAAATGTGTTAGACTGCTTTACATTTGTTAAACAAGTCACTGAGGATCTATTCATTTTTTTTAAACCAGTTTTTCCTGTGTACCTCATTTTGGAAAGTCTATTCCTGTTCAAGTTCTTGTTTTTTTGTAAACATTGAGGTTACCACCTATTGAAAGCACGGAATGTTGCTCCTGGAAAACCAAGTGTTACCTTGTTAACTCTCTTGTAAATAAAGAGGGATACTGATTAGCAATGAAAATGTCTTTGCCTTCAGGAAAATAGTACAAGAGGGAAGTAACTTGGATAGGAAGATAGGAAGTACAGTACCTTTAAAAAAAATTAGTAAGTCACTTACCAGTGTATCACTTCCATAACTCATGCTGTCAGAAAAGACAGGACTGTGTTTGTCTGTGTGCACTTTCTAATTGCTTCATATTTGCCCATAAAGAGTAAGGGTGGGACATATGTTTGCCCTTAAAGAGAAAAACTATTTACCAATCTCATTCTGATGGGCGAAATCTGTGAGAATTTGTTTTATAAAGTACTAAAAGAGCCTTAAATTTTAAACTCAGGTTACTCTGAGCCCTAAGAGACCTTCAGATAGTAATGATATCAGGAAAGTATAAGTCTTTACATGTATACAGTGGATTATTTCAGTTTTGTTACTCAGTCTTCACATATATAGAGTAAATTATTTCAGTTTGTTATTCAAGTTTTGTTTGGAAAAGCATAATGTAAATTCTAGATAAAATTCCTGCTTTTCTGAAAAGATGAAAATTATATTAGTAATTCTATTCTGTACTTACTGTGACTATGTTTATATACTTTGGAGCTTACTTTCTAAATGATTTTTTTAATGAAAATATAAAAATTACCAGGAATATGGAGAGTTTTAAAAAAATAATATTGGAGTAGAGAAGACCTTTCCAAATACAGCATAAAATTGAAGAATCATAAAGGAAAATCTTAATAAATTTCAGCTACATGAAAATAAATTATTTTTGTATGACAAAAAAACCCCACCATAAACTACCTAAAAATACATGAGAAACTGGAAAAAATTTAATTCACATAATAATTATAAATTATAATTATAATTAATAAAATGAATAATTTCTTGTTAATTTCTAATATATTCCAGGATATTAATTGTAGCATTATTTGTTATAGTAAGCTTTGGGAAACACTAAATATCCTCAACAATAAATGAATTATTATTTATTCACAAAGTAGAAAACTATGAAACTGTGAGGAATAAAGCAGATATATATTTATATAAAATAGAGCTCCTAGAACAGTCTTGACATGTAGTAGTCTTTCTGTATATGTTTGCTGATGAATGGTTTCTCTTTAATTTTAATAATATATTTTATTTAACTCAATAGAGCCAAAATGTTATTTCAACAAATAATATAGGAAGATGAATGAGTTTTTATGTGAACAAAAACAAGGTCTAACATACTTGGTAGTTCAGTTCAGTCACTCAGTCGTGTCTAACCCTTTGTGACCCCATGGACTGCAGCACGCCAGGCCTCCCTGTCCATCACCAACCCCCGGAGTCCACCCAACTCATGTCCATTGAGTCGGTGATGCCATCCAACCATCTCGTTCTCTGTTGTCCCCTTCTTCTCCTGCCTTCAGTCTTTCCCAGAATGAGGGTCTTTTTAAATGAGTCAGCTCTTTACATCAGGTGGCCAAAGTATTGGAGTTTCAGCTTCAACATCAGTCCTTCCAATGAACACCCAGGATTGATCTCCTTTAGGATGGACTGGTTAGATCTCCTTGCAATCCAAGGGACTCTCAAGAGTCTTCTCCAACACCACAGTTCGAAAGCATCAATTCTTTGGTGCTCAGATTTCTTCATAGTCCAACTCTCACATCCATACATGACTACCTTACATGACTCTTCTCTCTCCTTGCTATTCTTTGGAACTCTGCATTCAAATGGGTATATCTTTCCTTTTCTCCTTTGCTTTCCACTTCTCTTCTATTCATGGGTATTTGTAAGGCCTCCTCAGACAGCCATTTGCTTTTTTGCATTTCTTTTTCTTGGGTCTTGATCCCTGTCTCCTGTACAATGTCAGGAACCTCTGTCCATAGTTCATCAGGCACATCATCAGATCTAGTCCCTTAAATCTATTTCTCACTTCCACTGTATAATCATAAGGGATTTGATTTAGGTCATACCTGGATTATCCAGTGATTTTCCTTACTTTCTTCAACTTAAGACTGAATTTGGCAATAAGGAGTTCATGATCTGAGCCACAGTCAGCTCCCGGTCTTGTTTTTGCTGACTGTAGAGAGCTTCTCCATTTTTGACTGCAAAGAATATAATCAATCTGATTTCGATATTAACCATCTGGTGATGTCCATGTGTAGCATCTTCTCTTGTGTTGTTGGAAGAGGGTGTTTGCTATGACCAGTGTGTTCTCTTGGCAAAACTCTGTTAGCCTTTGCCCTGCTTCGTTCTGTACTCCAAGGCCAAATTTGCCTGTTACTCCAGGTGTTTCTTGACTTCCTACTTTTGCATTCCAGTCCCCTATAATGAAAAGGACATCTTTTTTGGGTGTTAGTTCTAAAAGGTCTTGTAGGTCTTCATAGAACCGTTCAACTTCAGCTTCTTCAGCGTTACTGGTTGGGGCATAGGCTTGGATTACTGTGATATTGAATGGTTTGCCTTGGAAACGAACAGAGATCA